TAGATTACGTATCTTATTACGTAAATCCTATACGTTTATTCAACTCCTCATACGCATTGACAAATATCGACAACTACTTTTGTGACAGCTCATCACTTCCGTTGCTACAGTCCAATGAGAGGAAATGTATATAAATGCGGTTTTACAGCTAACCTGTAGAATGATTTCACCGAAAAGAGCCTCTTTGCTGAACCACGTGTTTTGTCATCAAATTATTATTTATCCAGTTAGGTGATTTGCTGACAATTTCAGACACAGAACCTGCAAATTAATCGTTTGGGTTAAATTACAGCCTTCACTAGCACCTTACTAACATTCATCATGTGCATTTAAGAGCTCTGAGATTTTTAATACATCACAGGCGGTAGAGTCGTTTTAGTGGACGTCGCTTTCCGATGAACTCATCAAACAAATCTTTGAATTATGAATTCGACTTAACCATGCTACATTCAAATAACTGCGGCTGGTTAAATCTTCTCATTTCCGTGCTTGTGCTAATATTACATGCGACAAAAATCAAGTAAGATAAGATTCTTTGTTGGAAACAAAACGGACATCACATACTTTGCCGCGGAGTCAAGATACGATGAAAAATGCGACTCAACAGTGAAAGAAGTGGATCAAATTAAAGATGAGTATTTTTGAAAAAAGGCCATGGCAAAAACAAATCACAGCATAACTTCCAAATATGCATGAAATGTCTATTTACTTCCATCTACTTCAATCAATTACACATGAATATAAGAATACAAGGACTCACTAGAGCATTCTGCATCGAAGCTCACCGATTCGTTGTGAGAATTCTTCAATTGTCTCAGGGTTTTTCGACCAGAGTCTTTCAGCTACAGCTGCACCTCTGGGCCTGCATATGTATGTCACAGAGGTGAGAGAAAATACTTTGTTGTAGTAAATAAAGCAAGAAAAATAAAGTCATACCAAATGTTTTAGTCAGACTGCTCAAAAATCGGTCTGTCATAAACTGGATGTCTAACTGTACCATTTCTTGTATGAGTCTCGCCTGTGTAGCATATACGAAGGCGTATCACTCAGTTTATGACCAGCTGTGTCATTCGTTGATGAATAGATGTAAGGCTCAGAAACGCCACCCTCAACCCAGCGGTTAACATTCAAAAATAGTGACTGATAAAACATACGAGAGGTTGAAGAAAGTCATACCAGTACCAAAAATCACAGTTGATCCTTATGATATTCGAAAAATGAGAGAGAAACATTGGCGCAGAATAATCTGGATCCCTTTTATTTCGTCGGTTCTCTTCAGCTGCGTACAACATAAATTCTTGAACAAAATAAAAAGTATACAATTTTCCCAAACTTTTGTCCATTAGCAAGCATATTGTCAAAGCGTCATAGTGAAATAAGGCGTTGACATTTACAAGGCGTCAAAACTGTTACGAGATATATATATATATCTTGTCAGAGAGAAGTTTCTTGAAAAAGCCAACCCTTTTCTACCTTCACTAACGGTTAACTGGTTGAATAAATAATATATCTGAAAAATGGAGTCCATTCTGAATGACACGTCGAAATTTAAGATTGCTAACTGAAAAGAGGATATGATGGATTCGGCAGGAAAGCAAGTCACGATAGTACTCAAAGAGCTATTGAAAAAGAAAATGATTGATAACCATACGTACCATGAGTTAAAACCCACAGGGTCTCGTCTACCACATATGTATGGTCTGCCGAAGATACATAAAAAGAATCGCCCAGCCGATAGGTTAGAACCTGTCAGAGAACGTCTAGCTAAACATACTCCAAAAGACTCGTTCCAATTTGTTGAAGAGGTGATTCACCTCAATGTACATGACAAATTCATGATTTCCTACGATGTGACTTCGCTATTCACGCAGAACCCCCTGCATGAGATATCAGGCATCACCTGTCAACACTCTGATCTTCGTCCTCAGCAGAACTGGAATTTGAGCAGCTTCTTGTTTTATGTACTAATGATCTACAATTCCAGTTTGACGACAAAATGTATCGCCAGGCTGATGGACTGGGAATGGCCAGTCCACTGTGTCCGATATTAGCTGATATTTTTATGGCCAGTCTGGAACTGACAAAGCTCAAGTGTGCAATCGGAAAAACAAAAGCCTACTACGGATACGTTGATGACACATTCATTGTATGCAATGATTTGAGTCACGCTTCGTCTCTATTAGACTCTTTCAACAATGTACACAAAAGCATCACTTTCACGATGGAACATGAAGAAGATGAAAAATTCCATTTTTTGGTTGTAAAGTTGGAGAGAAAATACGACAAGACACTCGAAAAATCTGTGTATCGTAAAGACACACGGAGTGGTCTTTACTTGAATTTCAACAGCTTCTGACCAGTTAGATACAAACGAACGCTGGTGAGAACGCTTTTCTCTAGAGCGAGGAGAATATATTCACCAAGGAAACTAGATAGTGAACTTATGCTCCTTGAAAAATGCTTGAAAGCAAAGGTTACCCACAAAGTTTCATTAATAAATATGGCAAGAATGAACTCGAGAAGCTTCATACAGCTACGGCAGTAAGAAGCCTATTTCCATCAAACTCGACAACAAGGGCGACGACATTGTGGCAATGGTAATTACAAGATTGAGTGCGGCCCTGCCTAGGACGTATCCTGCAGCATTATTAGTCTCTCTACCCCGAACAACCTCCTCACTGGCGCAGTCAAAGATTGACAAGTAACCCTCACATGTTACATTCAACTGTGTAAACCAATTCACATGTATCTGCAGGAGCAGTTACATAGGGAGAACCGAGAGGAAGGCCTACTTCAGATTCTGCGAACGTATATCAAGGAGCCTGTGGTTGAAGAGATAGAGTTGTTTAGGCTCTTCTATCGCCAAACACCTGATTGACATAGGACAACGAGTAAATGTGCTAGAATCACTCAAAATAATTAACAGACAAGCACCTCAAGTCTTCTCAGGTTTGGTGAAGCCTGACTTATATGTTCAAAAAGAATCCGCTTTTTGGACTTCAACTACCCTGGTGACACACTTCTTAGTAACTCTTTGTTTTTAATTTCGTTATCTTATCTTTTCGATCCCCCCTTTATTTTTCACTTAACTCTTTTAAGAGATAATTTTTCTTGATCTTCTGAGTTCCGCTCATTGTATTACATCATCAACTTCTCATTTGACCTCAAATGTACCGACATTTTGATCTTTCTTGTCTAATTACGTAACCATTACTAACTTTCTCTTGTTACCACCACAACAACACAACAGTTGATTAACATTTTCAAGAAACCCCTCGCTAAGAGGATATATATGTATGTCCTGACACTTTAGACACCTTGTAAATGTCAACGCCTTATTTCACTATGACGCTTTGACAATATGCTGGCTAGTGCACAAAAGTTTGGGAAAATTGTATACTTTTTATTTTGTTCAAGAATTTATGTTGTACACAGTTGAAGAGCACCGACGAAATAAAAGGGATCCAGATTATTCTGCGCCAATGTTTCTTCTTTCCTTGTTCAGATTGATAAAAGGGAATCAATGTAGGAAATTTATGATATTTGTGAGATGATCGGCTAACAGTTGGCCTCGTCGATCTTTTCATCCTCTTTCATCTGAACCTGAAGTGATTTTATTGAAGACGCATATTCTAGAAATGACTCAGCGTTCGGCTGGTTTTTCCTTTTCTGCTTGAACGGTCATTTTCACTAAGTTATCTTGTCGACTCTGAAAATCCCTATGTGCACTTGGTTCATATCCACGTGACTCAACTCACACCATTTTCTTAAATAGTCGAAATATGTTAACACCAAAAGTTCTATGAATGATTCACAAAATATACTTACCATGCCAGAGTGATAACATCGGTCTCATCCACACGTGTGCCCCACAGTGTAGCTTCACCACCAATGACTAATGATGCCTCCTCGTCTGTGCCTGTAAAAGACATGACAATTATTATTAATGTCATCGTAGAAAGCTTATAGACTGAATGAGGATTAGTGTAGTTTTCAAATTCAGGTGTGCCGAGTTCACTGGTGGACGAAACATTTGGAATTCGAATGGTCTTATATTTTCAGGTTTGATGTGTCGGCACTACTGATAAAGTTAGACAATGAGTTTTGATTTAGAAAATGTTAGGTAAATAAATAATGGAGGGTGCGCTATATTTGAAGCGTAAGAAAGGCCAGACAGACCTTCACCACTCTGAAATCGATATTCAGTTATTAGTTTGTAGGGATTTGATTGGTTACAGGATTTCATCATTAGCTGATATTCGTTAGACTTCATCGGCAATCGGATCGGGTCCCAGTGGCTTAATAGTCTACGAGCCTTGTGGGTGCATACTGATGGAGAGTCCTAAACTAGGACAAAACAGCTGTGCACTACTCCCAGGTTTTCCAGTGGTTCTATATCCAATATCAGTTCATGATGAAAACTCTGAAATCGGTTTAGAACTCTGATGCAGTCAGCAAAAAGAATCTTTAGTTCTTCCGATAGGCATGAAGTTACAAAGTGCTAATTATTCAGGAGTATTTTGATTCTCACGCCATGGAATTCAGATCATCTATCTATTCATCTAACTCAATTTCGAGCACTCCTTCTCAGGTAGACATTTTTTGTTGAATGTGAGGCAGGAATCTGTCTGCGACATATTCATCATGGAGGCGCATGCATACTTCATCAGATCTAGATTCAATACTGAACGATTGCATTTGAGAATGTGCTTGTTCAGTGTTAATGAATCTGCAATTCAGTCACACAGCTCACATAATGCAACAACAATAAAGGCATCCAACTGACCTACATATTCTCTCTATTCTTTTTGAATTAATAAACGTCAGAATACTGAGTTATTACCTATATGACCGCACACTGTGTAGTTTCATATGACCAACCGATTCACACCCGCAAATGACGAATAAGCTCCACATTATGCAGATCCAACAGATAATGTCAACACATAAATTTGGTTAATGACACTATCCCTGTCAAACCATACTGTAAATCAACTAACCTCCAAATTCTCTGATATCTTGTTCGTAGTATTTTGTCCATTCATATTCGTTATGTAGATTATTTAAATTCCAATCACCAGTAACTATGACGTTGAATTTTTTTCCGGTAGCCTCTTTGGTAAATCCTTTCCAAGCGATGCTTTCCCAAACATGAATGACTGTGTTCTCATCACCCTGTAAGATGGAACCACACATTTATACAATTACTGGTTGTTAGCTGGACGAATACAAATGTCTTTTAATGAGAGAAATTAACGATCAGGTGGTAATCTAGGAAGTGAGAGCCACCTTATTCTAAGGATGGGAGATTTCGATTAAACGGTGATTATAAGGAGGGATTTCTTAGCTGTCTGAGATGTCTGAAGCCTATCTCTGAAGAGAAGTTAGGTGTCTGTCAATCTTTAATGGAAACAATACAGAGTTGGCTCATTTTCCAAAAACTGAAATATGCAATCAACTCGCTCCTGCTCTATTCTCAACTCAAAGGTATTTGAATTTATGGAAAATGTATGTCATCGCTGGATTCATCACTTCAGAGTAACCAGTGTCTTATGTCTGATCCTTGGATTTGGTGCTAATAGTCAGGATTGAAGTGTGATTGCCAGGCTAGATGAAGACTTATAAAATGAGCAACGAGAACTTGGCTTTCTTCGATTTGAAAATGAAGCTAGGCAGAACACTTGTCATTCTTGACAGTAATGTCTTCAGGAAATCAACACACTTCAACAGCTATCCTAACTCCAGGTCAATCAGTTCCACGTTATGTTATAGCAGATTGAACAAACTGCTTCGTTAATACAAATGACAGTCGAATCAATACATCGAAGCATTCCTATACGTTTAAAATGAAGTTTAATTGGGACACTCCTAAATAATATTTGGTTTCACTCATCCTCTAGAACCAGAAAATATGCGCTTAGACGTGCTTTTTGATTATAGCATGATTCTCTACAATATGTTGGTACAACTATAGCCTTTCAGCACGAGTTATCTATCGGTAGCCTAAATTCAGCAGGTCAACCATTGATATCAAATGAATCTGAAGCGGTGATTGAAACTTGTCGTCGTCCTGACTGCTGTGCCACCAAAGCACAATGGCAGGGATGAAATAAGTAGCGTTGCCGAATTATTTATAAGAGTGAAGAAGGTGGAGCGTATTTCTTTGAGACCCGTCAACTAGATGTATCCCCACTCGCTACCAGTGAGACTGAGACTGAACCATTAACACTTAGTGTCATCTAAGAGCTTAAATCTCTTACAAAACCAAATGAAGTGGTTCACTAAGTAGGAAATCCCCAACTGTTCAATGGATGAAACTATATCTGGTGGCTCACTAATTTATTTTCCACAATGAGACCAAATATCTAAACTCAGTGAGAGTAATGCGAAGATTCCAAGGTCAAGCACAAAGATTGGTCAATTCCCTTTGGGTCAGCTGAGTTTACAGAACATGAGAATTCAGCCTGATTTATCATACATAACCATCTTGTATAGCTTTCTCGAGAAAACATGAGTTTACAGTTATACACGCATTGACACATGGACACCAAATAAGGCGAATGAGCTACACTAATTACCCAATTGTCATTATTGTATTGTAACCCAAAATAGTCCCACACAGGACATTGAGTTTCAGCGGCACTAAGAGACGTCAGACTCATGATGAGCTTCCTGCTTGCGCTTTCTGCCCACAGTGTAACATTTGTACTACCAATTGGAATTCTGGATAAGTTTTTGTGCGTTACTGTCTGCACGTGTCTGTAGAGGTGATTCTTCTGTGTTGTTTTCAGGTACAGATAACTGCAGTTTCTCTTCTTTTTGACTGAAATCTTGCAGTCACATTCTTTCAGGAGATCAGTGTTCAGCTCATGAGAGCTTTCTATGTTTTCGGTAATAATCTGATTAACAGGCTCTGATCGTACTTGTTGTCGTCATCTGAGTGGTTGGACTACATTACTAACTCTACAGCTGTGAATTTGGAGATTTTAGTTCCGTTTAGCATGCGATCACGGATTCCTAACAGTGTCATAACACATCTGGTTCAATCTGTGTTCTGACCAACCTCAGATATGGTGAGAACACTTCGTGTCCCCATGATTATCCTCGAAAAGCGACCCTTCGGTTGAGTGGCTTCCATCCACAGAGGCAGGTCAACCTAGAAATCATCTTCAATATTCCAGCAAGGAATGAGTTTATTTTTTATATTTTTCTGTGCATCAAAGTTATCGTAGCGATGAGTTAAATTTTTAAAGAGTGACGTTTTCAGCCTAACAATCAACCTTTCCGTTTTTAAAGGTTAAAGACTTGCTGATAAGCCAAAAACCAGTTAAACACTCATAGTTGATCATCCAATCGGTTTTCATGAATCTAACACACATCGATAAGTTCTATAGAGATAATACAACACCAATGATGGGAATGCGAAAAATGTCTCTATCATTGGGAACATGATATGAGAAAGAGTCCCCGTGAACAAACAAGGCTATAAAATTATGCTAATACTCTAAAATGTTTGTGAACACTAGGTGTTTACTGAATCACAACCCACCCAGTGAAGTAAGCACATCTGATAGTGTTGTGCGTGTAGATAAAACAATTAATACTACACTCATCTCCCAACACTTACCTGATATCCGTGATCTAAAACGTCTCGATATAAAATAGGTGTAATCGAAGGATTTCGGTCAGCAACACTTTTGACAATTTTGACTACTTTCGATGCGTAATAATTTACTAGCTGGGAAGAATTACCAGAGAATCCCATTTTTTGCATGAATTCAACTATTTCTGGATTCGAAATCCTAAAGAAAAGAAAACAGAAACACAATAAGTTTAATTTTCCCATGTCCTTCGTCAGTGATTTTTAGAAACCAACTTTTTTGTGAAAATTGTTCTCCAAATCACTGACTGATAGTCTGACTTCGAATGAAACATTAATGACTCACAATTGCCAATAACATTAAAACAATTTCATTCGATTCTGAATATGCTCACAAATGATCTGCAATTATTCACACATTCACACACAAATTGTTAACTTCATGTTCCCTTACTTCACACCAGTTCACCATGACCTTTATTCAAACAGTTTTATTGAAGGCAGATACAAAAGCCTCCACACACTGTTCACGGTGTACAACACATAGCCTAATAATAGGTCTTGAGAACTATTCTGTGAAGATCGAATCACAATGCATACGATATTGTTTTTGGGGACTAATCAAGACTCAGAGATGATTGATTGGACAAGAGTTGTACAGACCAACTGTACGTTTTATATATACCTTTATTATTTGAATTTCAACTATTTTCCTCAAGAGATTTGGAAATGTCCGACGAACGAAACATGAGAATCGTTCAATTCAGCTTGGCTGAGATTCAAACAAATATAAATTTTAAGTAATGATAAAATGTACTAAATGAGACGAATTCAACCTGTTGTCTTCTGAAGCAAGAAAACGTTTTCCATCAGAATACTTTGAGAATTTCGGGATGTCTTAACATGTCGCCTAAATGAAATGTGAAATAAAATATGAGTAAACTCACCAACAGGTGACATCTATCCCATTACCTCCAAGATGAATATAGTTATCATGAAATCGGCTGGTGACTTCTGTAAACAGATTCTTCAGAAAATCAAATGTAGAATCATTGGCTAGATTCATTGGACCCAACTGTCCATTTGGCTTAGAGTCTTGATAACATTTTGTTAGTAAGTCTGGGTATGCTTTTCCCCATGACAATGTATGCGCTACAAGGAAGTATTGTGACAACCAGTTAAGATCACTTTGACAAATATTAGAAGGACAATATTACTTAAATAAAATATGGCGTGGCTGTTCATGAGTCAGCACTCCATACCACTACCCATTTGAAATCGATTGTTATTTTGTTTCCTGTGATTCTACACGAACTGCATTCCTTCACAGAACGATAATCCCTACGACTCAAAATACAGTGATCAAGCACTTGACAGTGTTGCTGGCACTTTAGCTAACCGTATTCAGGAAATTCGCCTTTAGAATTTTCACCAAGTTTTCTGGTTTATGTGAAGCGATTGAAAATAAAAAAAGGGAACCATAAACCCGCAATGATTTGAACAAACCATGGTCTTTTATCCGCAAAGAAACGAGTAAAGCTTTCGTAAAATATGAAACTGTAAGGTAATTCAACAGTAACCCACTTCAGCATCTCATTGATTTAATATAACTGATAGTATAGTATCATGAACAATCTGCATTATAGTTTCAAACCTAATGCCTCTGCCAAATTCATGGTCCTATGTTGCATTTGCGGCATTATTTCGACAACACTATCACACTGACTCAAATACTGACATAATTTCATTTCATGTGGACACAGTTAGTGGATAATTACATCACAGCAAATGTCTTCAAACTTATTTACCTGGAGTATCAAATTCTGGAATGATCCGGACTCCACGGAGACGAGCGAACTCCAATAAATCAGACACTTCTATCTCATCATATGTATACATTTGTGGATGATATGCACCCTGTTCAAATTAAGACGAGAATCGGAATTAATAAACGGCTGGACATCGACTCAACTTACCTTGTCTGATAGTTCTGGATAGGTGGTTGAGACAAAGGGAAACGACGGATCATCTGTGATGTGCCAATGAAGGACATTCATTTTAACCATTGCCATGATATCCTGGAAACAGAAAATACTATGCTGAATATCACATCTCCTACTATCATCTTCCGTAGCGTTTCAACTGGCATGAAGTTCCTACCAGTATCCAAAAGCATTCCACGATGTGAGAATAATGGTTCATCTTCCACAGAACCCTTGAATATAATATTCTACATGAAATATAATGATGAAATCAAGTTATCAACAGGAACAAAACTCACTCCTCCAAATTCATCTCTGTACACCATCTGAAGTACAGTTTCCAGGGCACGTAGAGCACCCCAAATCTCTTTAGAACTTATCGAGATCTCTGTATCTTCAATGTTCACGTTATCTGCAAAGTGGTGAATGAAATACTTCGTGTGTTGTGACTCACATGATTCGTTCATCACATCACTCGGCCACAGTTTGTCTGCATTTTCATCACATCCATCCATGATTTCAATTTTCAGTTTGTTTATGATACATTTGTCTTTGCTCTCCTGAGGAATTGGCGGGTGGTGTGATGCAAGACGTAGTCGAAATCTTGTCAGGGATTCTGCTAGTATAAAGCATGTTGGGTATTTGTGTTCGTAGGTGAGTGTGTGAACCAGGTTGCAGGCGGTTGAATCTTTGTCGTAGACTGTTGGTTTTGGAACTATAGCGAGTGTTCGCCGACTTGCATTATTGAGCAGTAATGCAACCAATAACAACACAGAATTAGACATCATGACTACGTTTTGTTTCTCAGCAGCGTATGTCTCACTCGGAACTCAGCAAGTTTTATACTAAAATTCTCAATTGGATTTTGAACTTATTCTACATCTGATGAAAAATATATCATCCAACCAAATCAGCGTATCGCCTGATGGCTTGTCTGTGAGTTGTGTATTGATGAAATTTAGACGATTATAATGATTTTTGTAAATAATTTTTTGGAAAAACAAATGTTACGATGATTGAATATAAGTCAGTAAGTATTCTTATATAAAGTGGAAAGTAAACAATTTTAATATGCGTTTTCTGTGTATATATGTGTCAGATATTCTCCACGGAATCAATATATTTCAGTGAACTATGGAGTAACTAAAGTCATCATCTGCCTTCTGGTGAAGGCCAGTCTTGATGAATCTTTCACTGTACCACAATATAAATAGGGCCGAAGCTGCATGAGTTAAATTATGACTGGACAAATCTCTGCCACACTCGTCTGATGCCTAAGGCTTTTGCACTTTTATTTCGGTGTATTTTTCTGACCAGGCTTGGACGCTGTTTTACACTTTTCTTCGATCGAGTAACACATACGACATCATATTTCACAACGGTCAGACAAGTTCCTAGAAGCTTCTCTCGATGTTATTGTAACGTTCAGTCGTCTAAACAAGTTGTTCTGCAGAACATTTTGTTTAAAAAGCCAAACCTTCTTGATTCAACTGTTGTTACCAGCAGTTGGAGGTTTTGTAAAGTACAGATTAAGTTTTGACATTAATACATTCTATCTAGTGCGGTTTGCATAGTGTGAAATTTCAACCGCATAACCTCTCATATACAATTGGCGAATAGTGCCATATCTGCAGTTTGGTGTATCCATACTTTCACTAATTTACTGGTTGCAGTTTGGTTTGTTTTCGCGTGTCAGATTGTTACTATTTTTTCATTAATTTTTCTACTTGGTTAATTTTATAATTGTGATATTTTAATGTATTTTCTCATCATGACTTACCACACTGTATGCTGAAATCGACTTTTTTGTACAGGTTGTAGTTACCACAAAACCCTCGAGACACACGGAACATTCGCAGGGCTCGCTCATGTGGAAATGTGTTTCTCCCTTTGCCTTATCTACTTACATGAAATCAAGTCTTACTGTGCTATTTTGCGGCTTCCTGAAAATATTGTCGAGGATAGTTGTAAGATCGACGCCTATCCCTCTTCAAAACTTCAGGATCGTTTCATAGCTGCTATGATAATCAGAGTTGTACGTACATGATCAGTAGTGGGTGCAGGAATTCTCCCAAGACGTACATTTTAAAGATTTCAGTCTTACTCAAATACTTCATTAGATGTAACGGCTAGTCACTGATATAAAAAATCACAATACATTCGGAGGGCGTGGGGAATCCTGTCAATCTTTCGAAATTTACTTTGATAAAGTTTTGAGAGGGAGACGACATAAGTGTAATGGCTGTTAGACCTAAAATAGGCATTTCAACCGCATTATTTACTAGTTCTTACTGTCGTAAGGATCTCTGCGCTCTCTAAATCTTTGAATAGTCGAGTTTTCACTCGGCGGCCCGTGTAAATAAAATTTATCAGATGTGTAGTATTTTGAAAAACATGACAGTAAGAAATCGTACCACTCCATATTTATCTGTTGTAGCACATACATCTGACTTTTTGGGAATACTCGATCGTGTTTAGGAAATTCTCAATACACTGTTACGCTTATATCAAAGATGTTATGGTGCCACTCACGAAAAACACACTCCTCCGTGCATTTTGGACACCATTCAACATATATGGGCGTAGCCGTATGATGATGACTAACGTCACCTGAGGATCGGACCAGAGGCTGCTGTAATCCCACATGAAGTGGAAGAGCGTGTCGGAAAAAATCCACCCTTTAATATTTCCAGTAATTGCGTCACAAAGATCACTCATATTTTAAGCCCAAATTTACGTTTATAGTGTGAACAGTGCCAAACGGTTTTTGAGGACTGACTCTAAGAATAACCATTCGGCTAATTGCATCGTGAGACTATTCATGGTAGGCTGTTACTGACCTCCGTTTAGGAGTCGGTGTTATAATGAGCTATGCTAACTAACTCTTACAATTTCCAATCTTCTCGTTAAAAGTAAGGTAATGCAAAGCGTTTACTTTTTTTCAACTCCTGGAGGTCGAAGTAATCACTGAAGTAGGCAGTTTTAAATCCGTTTATGTCTATATTAATTTGTTTATTAGATATATCACACAATGAGTAAAACATTATTATTTACTGGATGACAAGGTTCCTAACACAATTTATTGTGGCTCATAATCAAACGGCTTGAAAACTTGAGTTCTATAGTTTTGTTTGTTCTCTCTCATTTGTCGTAGTGGCAGTCGAATTTTCCAGGTATCCCAGTGGACAGGTGCTAAATCATTCTTAATACACGTGCTCACAGTTGATTCGATAAATGAAGCTTCCATTATCAATATCTCCTTCCACCCCGTTACATTGGATTTTAATACCATCATCTTATCTCATCCTGTTGTATGGTTGTGTTTAATTGCACATAATGGTGCCTCAAACATCTGGAAATTCTGTCACCCGTATGACATATAGGGAAGAACAAAGAAAACTATAATACCAAATTCCCAAGTCATGTTATTATCATCTACATGATTATGAACCACAATAAATTGTGTTGGAAACCTGGTCATCCATTAAATGATACTGTTTCACTCACTGTGTGATATACCTAATAAACAAATTCATAGGGAATAACAAACTAACACTGTAACGCTTACGTCTACTTACGATATCTGTGGATAGAATATTAGCGCTCCTCCTGAAATTCAGTAGACATTCCGAGTGATTTTCCCGGTGTTCAATTATCTACTTTACTTGGACGCCAATGAGCTCACCTTTTAGTTGGTGCGCACTGGAAACAACATTCATGATTGTAGTGTGATGATTGTTTTGTGTTCCTCTGTCGATTAGACTGCAACTAACAAATATGTCGATGCATGTGATGAGCGTTTCCTTAGCTTTGTATAAAGCAATGAGTCGGCTGTTAACCACCAGAGATAACCAACTTGATGGCCCACTTTACAAATATCACTCCGATCCTGTCGGTTATAACCATCGTGGAGTTAGCACTTATTTCTGTTACAAACGTTAAATATGCATATCTGCTATTCGACCAGTCTTAGGTGCATGTTTGTGTGACTCATATAACTATTTTATTAGAGATACTCCTGCCTTTCCTCGAAGCAAATAGATTTTACATTTGCTGATGTTATTCAACTGCAATGTATATATTTTCCAGAAATATAATGGTCAAAAATATGTTGCCTGCACTTTAACTGTAGTGAAATCCACATATTCATTGCCACTGTAGTGGAAGCGA